ATCATAAAACACTAAATAATTTCGGGCTAATTAGTCAAACTAACCAAGGTCTAATTCGCATGAACCAGTTAATAACACAAATCTTATGTGCTCATAATAAGGTTTAAATTTTTTATAACTATATACTACAAGAAAATACACTTTTGGCGACCACTTTTGCCAACTAAAAATATTTTGGTCACCAAAAGTTGTGGAATTGGGGACCAAAAATTGTATTAGTCGGCAAAAGTATAATATTTAGCTACTAAATTTTTTTAGTCAGGGTATATTGATTATTGGTGACTAAAAAAAAATTTAGTCGCTAAAAATACCACAATTGGCGACTAAAAAAAATTAGTCGCTAAATTTGCCACAATTGGTGACTAAAAAAATATTTTAGTCGTTGTATAGTTAGTTTTGGCTATTAAAATTGTTTAGTTGCTGAATGAAAAATAAAAATTAACTTTTTATTTTTGGCGACCAAAACCATGGTCGCCAAATATTTATTTTCAGTGACTAAAAAATATTTGTCGCTGTATAGTTAGTTTTAGCTACTAAAATTATTTAGTCGCCAAATGAAAAATAAAAATTTACTTTTTTATCTTTTGGTCGTCAAAAAATTATTTTTTAATCGCTGTATAGTTAGTTTTGGCTTCTAAAATTATTTGGTCACCGAATGAAAAATAAAAAATTACTTTTTATCTTTGGTGACCAAAAGTTTGGTCGCCAAAAATTTATTTTCAGCGATTAAAAAATATTTTAGTCGCTGTATAGTTAGTTTTAGCTACTAAAATAATTTAGTCGCAGAATAAAAAATAAAAAATTAATTTTTATCTTTGGCGACCAAAAGTTTGGTCGACAAATTTATTTTTAGTGACTAAAAAAAATTTTAGTTGCCAAAAAACTAAAATTTTTGGAGGGATTTATAAAACTAATTGGCAACCAAAATGTTTAGTCGCGAATTGTGTAAAATGACCCCATATATATATATACATATTTATTTTGTTTCCAAACCAAACCCAAAACAAACTAGCGCCCCTCTCTCTCTTCAGCGTCTCTCTCCCTCTCCCTCTTCTTATTTTCTACTCCTCTCCTCTCCCTCTCTATCGCTAGGGATGACAATGGGGTTAATGGGATGGATATTAATTCCCCATCCCCATTCCCCTATAATAATTTTTCCCTATTCCCCATTCCCCATGGGTACTAACCTCTCCATCTCCTAATGGGTTTGGATTTTCCCCAACCCAACATAACCTTCTTTTTTTATCTTTTTTTTCTTCCAAGGTTCACAACCAAAGCTAAACATATATTCAATCTTATTTTATTTTATTTGGCTCAACAACAAAATCAAATACACATTAATTAATTGAAAAGTTTGTTTTAAATAATCAAATATATAATTTTGAGACTATCAAATAAGCTCACAAGAATATGAGATAAAATTGTTTTCATATATTTATATAACAAAATCAATCTGGGTTAAAGGCATTCTAATAAAAATAATGTTGTTGTAATTTGGAGATGAACCAGCCCATCTTCTCTTCTCTTCTCTTCTCTCTCCAGTCTCCAATAACCATGTATGTATAGGTATGTTCCTCTTTGTGTCCTCATTGAGTTGCTTTTCTTTTTTCCATTTGGCTGTATTAGGGGGATAATGGACACCCAGCTCATGTGCTAGACAATTAGACAGCTATTAGAGTATCTCTAATGCTTACTCAAAAAAAAAAATTGATATTAAATTTGAATAAAAAATTAATGAAAAGTTTTATATGATACTATGTGTTCTAATGCTAATTTTTTAATTTTTATTAAACAACTGGTTGACCAGGAGGTCGTCAAACATATGTAAATTTTCATCAAACAATCAGTTGATCGGGAGGACAATCGGCCGGTCATCCAGTGTACGGTGAAGCCTCTGCAAAAGTAACGGTTATTTGTAAAAATTTGAGGAACGATGAAGCCTTCCTCAATTTGATGAAATTTTTTATTTTCCTTTCATTTGATATGGGTTTGATGCCATGGTTGGAGTAACAAAAGTGTGCGTATTTTAACAAATTTAAATTTGATGGAAAATCTAAGTAAAGATTTGAGACGCTCTTATCGGAGTAAGAAAAAATATATATATATATATATATATATGCATTTATACTTAGGGCTTGTGAAGGAAATGATTTTTTAGTAATTTTGTTAAATTATGAGGTGAAAAAAATAAAGTGTTTGAGAATAATTCTTTGAATTTTTACAGAAAGAAGTACAAAAAGAAAGAAATGAATCTTTAACTTTTTTATATGATTTTTTAAAACTTTTTTAATGATTTTTTATTTTATTTTATTTTATCAGTTTCCCAAACAACCTCTTAAGCTTAATTTCATATCACTTGATGGGTAAACGAAACAAATATCACATGTTTCTTTTTTTGTCTCTTTAAATTTTATTAATTTATAAAATTATTCATGTCACAAAAATCATCATAAGAATCAAATAAGATCCAATAGGATAGAGAAGAGAAAAGAGGTAACAAGTAATGTAGATTCGTGTAAACTATCATGATGATTTACATTCATTTATATAATGCTACTTTTTATTTTTATTTTTTAAAGATGTGCTAAAATTTCAATCCTAACATATAGTTTGGTAGAAAAACCATGATCATAGGGTAATTATTTAGTAATTTCAAAACATTATGTGATATTATTTATGTGATATTTTAAATTAATCATGTAGTAAAATATTGCATGACTGAAATATGGAGATTTATACCTTTATTAGATAATTAAAAGACAAATGATGGTTGTGTGTTGTGATTTTTCTCATTTGCCGAGATTAATTATCATATAGACAATGTCATATGAAGATAAAAAAAAATATAGACAATGTTGTATGATAATCCGAAAATATTTAATAATTTTTATGATCATATTGTATACAAAAGACGAAAAACTGAAAATAAAAAATTGAGGGCGCTAGTTGTCAATTGTACGGGATAATAAAATTAGCATAGGTAGGGAGCGTGGATTTTGGGCGTGTTTGTAGTATCCTACCCCTAATGTTTCATTTTATGCATAAGTTATTTTCAATTGACTTCACTACTGAATCCATTATAGGGTGAATTATATAAAATTGGTAAATCACTTAGAAAATACTTTTTAAAGCCATGGTAGATTTTCAACCAACTGAATCCATTTTAGAGTGAATTATATACAATTGGTGAATTACTTAGAAAATATTTTTAAAAGCAATGGTAGATTTTCAACCCAAAATTATTCAGTTTGACATGTAATTGCATAAAAAACAAAGTAGATAGGGTGTGCCATGTCTCTCTTCCCTTTTTTTCAAAAATAAAAATTTAAGAATTATTCAAACATGAGGGTAGCCACTAGAATCTATGAATTTATTGAAACAAAAAACTAAACTTGATCAAGGACCCTATATTCATGCACAGTTTTTCATCCTAAAACATCCTCAGTCATAAAGATTTACTAAACTCAAATGTTACAACTACTGAACTTTTTTTTTTTTGATCGGCAAAAAAAAAACTTTATTGATGGAATAAACAAGTACAAGGTACAAGACAAATTACATCAATAATGATAAGGGAAGTGCAAAAGTAAATGATCCCAACTAGGTTGGCACCACAAAGCTCATCCTATCATTTGCTAACACCCCAAGTTAGTGAGAGACCAACGATAAAGAACAGACCATAGTAACATTAGAACGGCCACCCAATTCAGACCACCAGCCAAACATCTGAAATAAAACAACCAACCAACCAAACCTAGCACCTAAGCTTAGCAGACCAGCAAATCACCAATTCAGATCTCAGCAGATCACCAATTCAGATAAAAAAGCAGAACTGAAAAGCAGAACACCAGCATCACATTCCTTGAGTTGCCAGCAGTAGGCCAAATCTGTTGACGGAGGCACACCATCTGCAGACCACAGCAGCCATCCATACCCATCCACTTTCTGAGCCTTATATGAATAGCATACAGCAAACAGAGCAGACCAGCTGCACAAAGCAGACCAGCTTCCCTCCTAAAATCTCCAATACCATATGGCAGACCAGCAAACAACCAGCTCCTAAACATCAGCCTCAATCCTGCACTCCTAAACAGCAAAATTAGCATACAGTAGCAGGCACAGCCAGATTAGCATAATACTGCAGCTGGAGGTAGCCCCAAGACATCCTACAGCAGCAGGCACACCAAAATAGCAAACTGCAGAAACCCAACAGCAACCACAAATCATTAGCATAACTCTGCATGTGGATGAGGATCCCCTTTGATTACTGGATTCAAGTTTGCTTAGCAGGCCAAACATAAGAGCAACATACACTAGTAAGACTGCAGTGCAGACTCCAGCGCCAGAAAGACTGCAGCTCAAAAAAAAAACAAGACTACAACTACTAAACTTAACAGTAAAAAAAAAACATATGCTAATATATGGTATGAACATCGAGTATTTTTCTCAATCTTTTATTTCCCATCTTCTCCACCTACTATTCCATTCCGTTCAATTCCATTCGCTTGTCTCTAGCTCTGCCTAAAATCGAGTTCTGATCCATACTTAACATATTCGCAGCCTCCACTATTAGGTCATCCATCAACAATTTCTCAATTTCCATCCCTATCGCGTCCACGCCATCCCCAGAATCGAGCCACTGCATCTCCCTATCCAACACCCTCTCTGTCACGTCCTCATGCATGCTCTTCTCTTCACTTGCCAACAACTTATGCAGCTCGTAACCGATCCCATGTTTCTGCCTTGTAAGGCCCACCTTCCCTGTTGGCTGCTTCACCCACGGGAGTGGGTCCACGAACTGATGGAACATTTCAAAGATCGAGTTCTGATCGATACTTAACATATTCGCAACCTCCACTATTAGGTCATCCATCAACAATTTCTCAATTTCCACACCTATCGCGTCCACGCCATCCCCAGCATCGAGCCACTGCATCTCCCTATCCAACACCCTCTCTGTCACGTCCTCATGCATGCTCTTCTCTTCACTTGCCAACAACTTATGCAGCTCGTAACCGATCCCATGTTTCTGCCTTGTAAGGCCCACCTTCCCTGTTGGCTGCTTCACCCACTGGCTGGCTTCCACCGCACCGGGAGTGGGTCACGAATGATCTGCGACATTTACCAAGAGCCAGAATTTATGCGTCAAACAGAGAGCTTCTTTCAGACCTCAAATGACGTTGTCTCTTGGAAATTCATCTCTCACGTTGTCCAAATAACAGGGTCCAGAGGGCAATCGAGAGAGTACCATGTTTGACACGAAAGTGTCTGGGTCAGCATCTCAATATCAGAGTCGATTAGCACATCAGCTAGATAAGACACAGATTCCCAACTGTCTCATTAAATACTTTCATTGTCCTCGACACCGAGACAAATCTGTGGCCAACATCTTTGTCCCTTGGG